TCTCTCTCTCTCTCTCTCTCTCTCTCTCTCTGTCCCTAAAAATCAAATACATACTAACATATGGTAATTATTTTTAGCCCAATGCTATGCCAATAAGACTGTGTCTGTAAATGAAACAATAGAGGCTCGTTGTGGAGGAGGAGGTGGTGGTGGCGGCTATAGAGGGGGTGGAGGTGGCGGAAGCTACCCGGTCTATGTGCCAGTTCCAGTGCCTGCTGCTGGTGGCGGTGGTACTACAGTCACCGCGATACAACAACTGCCCGATGGTAGCTACTTGCTATACAGTGGCAACCAAGTAGTCGGTCGTACATTACCTGGCGCTAACATTGGCTAATAATTTTAATTGACCTCCGCACATAATAATACATAATGACACTATTATTATCAATATTTGTAACATAATTTAAATTTATTTTGATAACTCATTTTGCAAATATTTTTACCATTTATTATTATATTGTTTTTAAATAATAAATTAAATGTACACTGATAATTTAAAAAATTTTCTCGCTAATGAAATAAATAAATTTTATTATTATCATCTTAACCAATTGTACAAATTACATTAATACAACTCGTTGAATAATTACAATAATATTTACAATAGTAGATAACATAATACACACATTTTGATTAAGCTAATTATACTATCATTATTTGCCAAAGACCTGGCCGGGAAACTGACCGGGCAGTGCTTGGGCAGCATTAACCACTGGAAATTGACCGGGAAACTGACCAGGAAACTGCTGGGGAAATTGGCCAGGGAATTGTCCGGGAAACTGACCAGGGAACTGGCCTGGGAAAGCACCAGGGAAGGCGCCGGGAAATGCACCTGGGAAACCACCGCCAAACCCACCGAATCCACCACCAAAACCGCCACCACATCTCTCTTCAGGCTTATCGGCCGGTGCGGCACAACTCAGGGCTATTGCATAGTAATGTAAATTGTGTAAATAATTATAAATAACAGAAATAGTGAGTGAGTGAGTGAGTGACTTACCAATAGCTGCCAAGAAGAAAATTATTGAGATTAACTTGTTCATTTTAAAATTATATATATATATTTTTTTGTAAAACTTGGAAGTTTTATTTAATAGTTATTTTTTCTAATGAATAGGAATGTGATTTTGTGAATGCATTTTGTAGTCTATTATATACTTTGATTGAGTGTCCGGTTTGGTCTGTTAATGACTATTCAAATAGGATATTGTATACAATGGCAAAAGAATATTAGTAATGTTATGTGCGAAATGTACCCATATAAAATATAAAAGCAATTAATTAAACAGTGTGTGACCAGGTGGTATCAGGTATAACTAAACTGTATATGAGTTACTATTAAATTTAAAAGTGTAAAATATAAAATTTGTAAACACGAAGTAATCCAATTTAATTACTAATATCAATCCAAAATATATGAAAATTAAATTTATTAAAATATATTACAGTTTATAATAAATATTAAACATTATAATACTAATAATTTTACTAAAATTTAATAAATAGAAAGAATTGCGCAAATTTAAGTTGCATGATTAATTATAAACTTTTATTGTTTTTAACATAATTAATTAAAAATGAACTTAAATATTATAAAGACCTTATAATCCAAAACATATTATTTACTATTAAATTTTTATACGTATAATATAACTTACCATGATAATTAATTATACATCACAGATTTAGTAAGCACATTTTACACACATGCATTTACGTCAATAGAATAGACTCTTATCATGTCCATAATTAATCAATTGTATTGGTTTGTATAAACTTAATATTCTTTAAAAATCAAATAACAAAAATAAGTGTTATTTGTAATAAAAATGTAGTTTATTACTATTTGATGACCCTGCTTACTCTTATTTTTGTGATGGGTCTGTTTTATTTAATTTAATTATTATGTTTATATAAAAAATAATTGCAAGTGTAATTGAAAAATATAATTTACAAATATTCACAATAAATATTTCTATAAACTACCTTGGTGTTGATGTAATTTATCCAAACCGGATTGCACATGTATATAAATCCTTGTAAATAATAACTCAACTCTCAGTCCTAATACAAAAATAATAATAAAAAATTAAACAAGTTAAAACAATTAATTTAGAGATGAATAAAATACTCGCCTTAACCATCGCTTTTGCAAGTTCTGGTAAATATAATTTATAATTATGCATTTAATACGTGATAATTAATTACTAAATTTAACATGTTAAATTTTTTACACACACAGCCATAGCATATGGCAAACCCGTGGAGGACACGGACCCGGAGGCCAGATGTTACGGCGGCTACGGTGGCGGCGCTTACCCGGTGTACATACCGGTACCGGTAAACAATGCAGGCACAGTTAACCCAGCTGCCGCCAACCTACCCCCGGTCACCGGGGTGCAACAACTGCAAGACGGCAGCTTGTTGCTTTTCAACGGCAACACACCAATTGGCCGAACCCTACCCGGCCGTACCATTAACACCGCCAACGGTCCCATAAACCCCGGTGCCGCCCAACCCATACCCGCCAACGCTAATAACGTGCCCCAGATTACTGGCCAACAGGTGCAACCTAACGGTACAACCGTATTGTATTCTGGTAACAGACCGGTGGCCACTTTGCCCGCCGGCTCAACCATTGGCGTACCCGCTGGGAAATAAATTACTATGCTAGTGAATAATACCCTGGTCACTTTTTGTTGATAATAATAATAATTAAAATTTTGTTTTATAATAAAGTTTTATTTTATAATATTGTTAATGAGTTTAATGTTTTTAAATTGTTTTGTTGGTATGATAATTAATTGTACTTGTAGAATTGTTTAAACCAATAGTGATAAAATCAAGTTAAAATACCTTATATTCGTATAATTTAATTTATATTAATAATTAATTAAACATTTTACATTTACTGTATATTCAAGTAAATTGTATGCACTAACCGTGCTTAAAATATTTTTAATTAAATATATCGGTTTGTTTAAACTTGATATGTAATAATTCAAAACTAGATTTCACTTAAATTAAGCGTGAAATTTTATAATAAATTAGTTTTAAAATCTGCTACAAGTATTACTTCATGTAAATGTTACTTAAATACTGTTATTTAACAAATATTAAAATATATGTTTTATCAACCACCTTGGTGACTATAATGTTTGCCTAAACAGGATCCAACACGTATACAATGCTGGTATATAAAGACCAAACATATTTTTGCATAATCAACTCTTAGTCCCAGTACCATAAAATTATAATAAACTCAAAAACTATAGCTATGAATAAAATACTCGCCTTAACTATCACTTTTGCAAGTCTTGGTAAATATAATTCATATTTATGCATAAAATACATATAAATTAATTGTTAATTTTAAATTTATAATTTTTTTTAATACACAGCCATAGTGTGCGGCCAACGCTACGGCTACGGCTATGGTGGCGCTTACCCGGTGTACATACCGGTACCGGTACCTGTCGGTACGGGCACAGCTAACCCAGGTGCAGTTAATCCAGCTGGCGCCGCCGCCGCACCCATGGTCAACGGGGCTCAACTACTAACTGACGGCACGGTTATACTTTACAGTAACGGTACGCCAGTTGGCCG